TTTTTATTTTTCACCTTCCCTCTGACTCAGTTTGTAGATTTGAAGGAAAAATAAAGGTCTTCTTAGCATAAACATTGTCTCCTGTATTCACTACAACTGTGCTGACAAGACGGCAGATTTCCTCAGGATAAAACTGCTTTTATTGTGTGCACAATAAAACTGGATCTCTTCACTGGAAAAAAAACCCAGTATAACCTGTTCACACACAAGATCCGCACAGAAAATTGCTCAACCTATGTGTTTCCCTACTTTTAATCTTGCTGTGTTCAGCATTATGGCAGCTGAACTGTATCTGAAAACTGAAAATCAAAAGAAAAACAACAGAAATGCCCTCAAGACAAACCTGTTTTTATAAATTGTGAACTAAATCCGAAGTTTGATTGAACTCTAGCTTGTGGGAGAAATAATAATAGTGTAACCTGATCAGAGATAAAAACCACAACAGAACTGTGAGCTGCAGTTAGGTGAAGTTGCACACACGGTAGACCTTTTGATATTCATGATTGTAAAGTGACATCAGGAAATGTCAGAGAGAGATGATCTGTGACTGAAACTCAGGAAACTGGGTTGAATTTAGCCAATTTGATTAGAGCTAATATAAAAAACTGTGGTGAAAATTGAAATGTGAAAAACAAAATTTTGTGCTACAAGCAGTTTATTATTGTGCCACCACTCACGTCCCCCGCTAAAACGCTCAAAGAAAGGATTAAGGCTCGTCACTGGAGAGGAAGTCTGCCAAAATATTTATTTCTTTAAGCATTTCACCTTTCAAAAAATATCTGGAGAGGTTCTTATTACTGTGACAATTACAGCTCAGTTGGCACACTGCAAACAGCCTTTTTGCTTATACACTTTTAAATACAATCACAAAGTAATTTAAACTAAATCATAAAGAGCAATACGCAGCTCTCAATTAGTTACACTTACAAACGTGCTCAATGCTTTAACTAAAAAGAAACAGGTACATTTTTCCTCTCATCAGCAGTCAACTTTCATGAGCAAGCCTTCATTCACAGCCAGTTAAAATGCTCACATTTTAAGAGAAAAACATACTCAGATTTGGCATTTCATGCGTAGGTCACACTTGAAATTCTCCTATTGGCTAATTATTTTATTCAGTGTAATGATAAAGTTCCCTTTAATCCATGCTCACCCGGATAATATCTGCATATCAAGCACTTGACATCCTGCGATCAAAGCCTTTGGAACATTTGAACAGCTGAAATATTTTCACAGCTCATTTACTTTTTCACCCCTTCTGCCCCAACGATGTGCAATTCCCTCTGAACCTGATCTAATCAGCAAAAGCCCGTCTGACTATCATCTTGGGTCAGCTGCTGGTCAACACTACAGGAAAGAGAAAAAATAATAATAAAAAAAGGCTCTTTGCAGCGGTATTGTTTCATCAATCTAACAAAACACTAACAGAGTCACAAACACTAACAGAGTCCCATAAATAAATGCTTTATCCCACATTCTGTCGATACCCAGCAACTGTGCTGGATTGTAATTACTTTCAAGCTTGGTATTGAGATACTTTAAACAGGCTTGTGCTTTTTTGCTCATGCTAGAAATACGTTTTTGTGAGCAGCGAAATCCATGCACTTTGCAAACCAGTGCTTGAAAAAAATAAAGCAAACAGTCTATCCAATGCATCGCTGTGCGCAGAAGGCAGCGTCTTTATCCTCGGTGCTAAGGTCAGGACACACTGGTTGAATTAATAAGGCAATGAAAGTTGCAAGGCAGATGAGGACAGCACACAAAACTACCTCTGGGATCTGTTTCTTTCTCAAGGTAAACTTGTAGCAGTAGCATTAAATCTCTCACTGTCTGTCACAACACAAAAAAACATTCATGTTTCCTTTTAAGTGCACCCTGAGGACTGAATTGAACTTGTGTGCATGAAACAATGCATAAAGCTGTGTATTTTGGCACTGAAATGACAGGTTCAATATTTCTACAATAATAGTCTGTTGATGGTTGTAGCACTCATGTACATTAATTACTATTCTCACATGAAAATGTTAATTTAAAAAATGTGCAATTGACTTACAAATGAGTCACCTCTGCCTGGCAGCACATCTTAATGATTCTAGACTCAGATAGAAATATAGTTAAAAGTTTAACCAATCACTCTGAGACGTGGCACTTATGTCCAAGTCAAGGAGGACACTTATTGCCCAACTCCAATCTGTTTTCTTATGGCACAGTTATCTAAAGTTCTCTTCACTAAAATTCAGATTGAGGAAAAAAAAGTTACGCTAAATAACTACACCTATGCCACTCACACAAAGGGTCCCAAATCTTAAGGAGCAGATGGTTAATGGTCACTAGAAAGACTGAGGTGACAGCACTGTCCGGGATCGGTTTTGAAACTGGCTGTGGAAGGCACATGAGGACGAGAATCAGCCTAAAGACGCAAAGAGAATCCGAAGAATTCTTTGGGCGGATGCTAAACAAAGAGCAGGTTATTCATTGAAATCATTATTTTCCCCTTTTGGAAAGTATACATTCACTGTTACATCGTGGTATCTTAGCTCAAAAAGACATGTCTTTAGTGAACCCAGGTAAAATAAGCTATTTCATCCAGGTCCACATGGTAGTCAGTGAGATACATAGGGCCTTTATCAAAATGTTCCCCTTTGTAGCTTTTCCATCGTCCTGCTGGCAGGTAGATGTCCCGCTCTTGTTTTCCAGCCTCCAAAACCGGAGCAACCATCAGGTCATCCCCAATCAGAAACTGGGAGTCAATCTTGTATGCGGCCTCATCGTCATTGGCGATCCACCAGAGCGGCCTCACGATTGGGTCCCCTGTATCAAGAACTTCTCCTGCCAGTTCGAGAACCCTTGGAGCCACGAGGGTTTCATGGAGCTCTGTGAACTTCCGTGCAATCTGGACCACCTGGAAATGAATGCAGTGTTAGCATCAAGGACCACAGGACAAAAAACACTCCAAATACGGCCATGTTCACACTGTTTTTTCTGTTTGTTTTCAGAGATACTGTGGGAAAATTGGGGGTGAAACTAAATCCTGAATACAGTCTAAAGAGAGTCTGAAACTATACCAAAAAAACTAAACAAAAAAATCGGTGAGGGTCAGAAAAACCTCCTGAATAAACTGGACCCGAACTGATTTATTTCACTTTGGCACCATCTAGTGGTTATAAAAACCTAACCAAACAAATGTATTCTTTTAACAGTGAAAACCTCATATTTGCAGAATTAATAATGTCAGAAATGTATCACATTTACATCTCTCTGATATTAAGATTAATTTAGTTTTGCCAATGAGGACTTGTTCCAGGCAGAATAAATGTTTTGTGAAGCACTTCAAATTAAACTTAAACTTAATTTGTCACACCAAAATCTGGCACTATTTACAGACTTAACTCAATGAATATCAACAGAACCATAGTATCCAGCAAAATGTTCATTTCCTTTACTTCACTGGTAACTAGCTGTGAGACACATCTTGTGTCTGAGCTGGCTCACCTCATCATCATAGGACCATGGTGGTATAGAAAACTGCATGGCAGGCAGAAACGCAGACAATTCCAGCCATCTGATGTACAGCTCTCTGTCTGGCAGGCCATGTGATCCATTTATCCCACCTAAAAAACAGCAAACGGATCTGAATATAAGTTCAAACCAATCAAAGAACTTTAATAGTGGCAGCTTTACAAGCAGCCCCCTACCTGCAGTGTGGTTGGGGTACGCGTTCCCTCCAATCATATCAGGTAGGACGAACTGGTAGCCCAGAATGCTAATAGTAAGAACAGTGGGGATGATGGACTTGAGGCCGAGCTCGTATCCCCACACTGAGTCTCTGTCAATAATCCTGTAGAAGCATGAGATGTCCTGACTCTGGTAGCCCACCCTCAGTTCAGCACGCTCGCTGAACGGTATGGCCATCTCCGTGTAGCGCCGTGTGAAGGTAGAGGGATCCGAAAGCGGGACGAAGGTGCTGAACTGACGTGGGAGGTAACTTGTTTCCCCGGCGTCAAACTTGAAGGAGGTAACATCGTAGCGTGTTTTAAGCGTGTGCAACTGAGAGGAGTACCATTCACGGGCCTCTGGGTTGGTGAAGTCCAAGATACCTCCAATGCCGTTCCACCATCGCACCAGAGCGGGCAGCTCACCGCTCGGCTCCCGGACAAACAGCCCCTTCTCCACAGCGACGCCAAAGTTAATGGAGTCGTAGTTGATGAAAGGATGTGTCCACAGCGTCACTTGAAACCCGTCTTCTCTGAGTTTTTCAAACATACCACTGGCATTGGGGAACTTCTGGGGGTCAAAGTCAAACTCTCCATAGTCAGTGGTGTAGCGGTCGTCCAGCTCCAGGTGGGAGCATGTGAAACCATGTTTAACGATGTCAGAGGCATAGCGCAGCAGCTTCTCCTGGGTAACTGAGGTCTTATGGAGAGCCCACGTGGACCACACTGGCTGTTTGAACACCTCAGGAGATGGGACTTTGACAGGCTTAGGGAAATATCGGCGCACCTGAGCAAAAAAACAGGAACACAAAGAGCATATTGACAATACATAAAATGGAAATTCAGTTTTCAAAGTGTACTGTTGGAGCAGTTGAGGCATGCCCACACTCACCATGTATTTGTGAATAGAGGTCACATCGGACCCCACGCAAACTCTGTAGCTGAGTTCAGGGAAGGCCTGCTGTCCGTGAGGTGGTTTGAAAGGAGAGGATTGGTACCGGCCCTCAAACCTCAGTGTCTTGTTATTCTCTGACCAACCCAAATGAAAGGGAACAGAGTCGTTGATCTTGATTGCGGTAGCATTTGACGACAGCCAGTACCGCTCAAGGATCCCCCCAAAGTCATTTCGGTTAGAGTAGACATCACTAGTGACGAAAGGCCGTGGTTCCACCTCCCCTAAGATCTTGATGGGCCAGTACTGTGCTGCTGTCTCTGCTCCTCCATACCAGTAAGAGTCATTATAAGCCATGGCATGCTCTACCCAGTGCTTATTTTGTAGCTCCTCCCAGCGCACTCTGTAGCACATTACAGTGTCTTTTGGTCGAACGGTCTGTATAAAGAAGTTGATCTTGCCAGAATATGACTGCGTACAGGTCAGAATGTTTCCCTCTTTCGAGCAGGAGTCCAGATCCAAAGTGCCAGACCTAGGATGATGTGTGGACAGGGGTACAGAAAACAGAAAGGGGTCTGTTAAGCAAAACACAACCAAGCTGCTATTAGATCCTAGCCATATTTCTGTACTGCTGACATATAACAAGTTTGTTTCATTGGGATGCAATTACGACTTAGAACATTTGAGATGCCCCACTCAATTGTACTGCAAGTCCTGGGACATAAAGCTATTTCTGTCCAATATGAGCTCTGCTGATAATGGAAACGACTACATCAGTCTTCCCTCAGGGTGCAATCACATGTATGTCTGGAGTGATTTTCCATTATCCATCCACAAATTGGAGACAGGCAGGCTCTCAGTATGGGTCAGCACACAAAGTGGAACAACTGTGCTGAGGCCAACAAAGTTATTTTCATTACAGGAACCAATGAAATCTAAGACTGGTTTCACAATGGAGGTATTTATTTCAGCAACAATCCATTTTGGATTACAGCCTATAGTTACTGTTCTTTTAATGTTAATTTCTATATCTTTTTATTACTTTTATTTTAACTGGCATTACAAAACAAATTTAATTTAAACAGAATGTGATTCCAATTCTTGGTTATCAATGTTGTAAAGGGAGAGCACTACCTCCACTATTAATCTTTGACTTTTCTCATCCCGAGAACCTGACTGTTGTTGCCTGTTACACAGTTTTGTTTGCATTTTCCATTCAACACACTGCTCATGGTTGAAAAATTAAAAGCTGTATATTCAAACATTCACCCTGGTTATGTATTTCTAGTTTACTTGAAGTTTAAAATGACAATACATCTGTCATTTGTGGATCACTTCCTCTTCTCACACTTTATTCAGTCTTCTGAAGAAAAAAGCCTGAAGGAATGTGCTACTGAAATGTTTTTGTCCTGAGAAAAAAACCTTTTAGTTGCACTAAAGAAACTATTTATTACCTCCTTATAAACACGTTTTTTTCTAATACAAAGTAATACCGTCAGATTTATATTCCCATATTTAAAAAATGTCAAGAACTAAAAAATCCCCTGAAATAATCAATAATAGCTCCTGATGGCACACCCACCTGAAGGTCATGGTGAACATAACAGCCCCGGCGTAGTTACGTATGATGAAACCGTCCTTATTCAGGTCTAATAACTCGGTCTTCAGCAGCTGGGCTTTACGGAGAGACACTGAGTAGTAGCACCAGGACACCACCGCAGCCAGCACCAACACACAGCCTAGCATGCCTGCCATCACCAGTGGCCGGCCCTCGCTAGCCAATTTCTTCTTCAGCGGAGAGCCACGGGATCCTTCTCCTGCCTGCTGCTCTCCAGGAGCCGCTGGGACAATCTGATACATTCTGAAGACTGGCAGTGAGGTGTGAGGACGAGCTGGTTCTTCGGAGGAGGAGTGGCAGCTGGTGTTACCCTGCTGTCGCTGCTGGTGGGAACGTTGTAGGTCTGTTAGCCGACAGCACAGATGTTGAAGAAGGTGAGGTCTACCTGCATATCCTTATTAAATTCTCCATGTTTGAACAAGGGCTTTTATATCCAAAGCTGTAAGAAAGACATACACCAACCATGAGCTGAAGTATTGTGCATCATTTCAAACACCGTCAGTCTAAAATACAAATGTTCAAATTCTAAAAGTCTTGAGTCAAATTCACCCATACAAACTCAGGGGGATATGCTGTAACTGCTACTATCCGCTACACTGGTAAACAACAGTAGTGTTTACTGGGTCCTGCATTATAGATAAGCATTTCTGGTTGATATGGAGGCCAGGGAGTTGTATCCAATAACAAGCATAGCCAGGCTTTATGGCCCGACAAGCGCCAGTGGTAACAGAACCAATGAAAGCACAAAGTGCAGACTGCAGGTCAGCATGATACAATCCCATCTGTCTCTTGGTTAAGAGAACCTCAGACATGAGTAAATAATATTTAAGAGGCACTGCCCTCAAATAGCAGTGCTGCAGAAGGCCTGTAGTTTTCAGTAAACTACAGTCATCTGCAGCAGGACCACACTTGACCACAGGAATTCATTTGTTCCTGCTCAACAAATCTGACTCTCACACACACATAGAGTTGGTATCACCAAATGATAATATGTTTGCATAAAACGTTAAAGGCAGAAGTTCATCCGCACACGCCAACTTCTGTGATCAGAAAATGTGTTTCAATGGGCTTAACTCAGCCTCACTTCATGCCTAGTTTACGTTATCTTATAACACTTTTAATGACACGTTTAATTATCAGGACAGGCTTTTTCATCATGCATGCACCGTCCAACACTGGCTAATGACGTCACATCACATCTTGATTAACTCCAAACTCTATTCTGCTGAGTTAAACCGTAAGCTAAAAGTTCACGTTGGCTGCTCCCTGTTTTGACAACAAATAGACTGCTGGTTCCATACAGAATGGATGTGGAGCTAAAAACAGAGTCACGTTTCCTGCGTGTGCAGTCCAAAATGTCTTGCTGTCACACTTAACTGACCTACATCAAGAGATGGGTTTAAAAACACAGACATCCCGCATGTCTGTGAGTCTCCAAAAACGATTCAAGATTACATGTAAGCAGTCAAAACATTTCCGGTTCTGTTTAAATCGTGTCGACCTCGATGTTATAGCTGTGTCGTGAACCTGTCGGGACAATACCATTACTCCAACTGGCTCTACCACTTGCCGCGTTCTGGGTTCGGCTTCAGGATACACATTACAACCCTGTAGTGGCTATTAGGACAACCACATTCATATTTTCTAAATGTTTTAGCTAAATTGAAGACACAAACTTTGGTTGTCAATTGCTAATAACGTAGTCTTCCTTATCATGTACCTGAGAAAACATAATTACCTTCTCTCTTCTTCTGAGTCGCTGCTGGGGTCAGTAGTCAAACACTCCACAGCTGTGAGAGCGGCACTCTACTGCGCAGCCGCGAACGTGTCCGGAGTTCTACACTGAAAGTGGATTGGTCCATGAACTTGTCGATCACAAGTCAAGATTTTGTTTAGGCGGCGCGGGGGGCAGGTGGGGGGCTTCTGGGAAATGTAGTGTTTAACGTGTTTTTGACATTTGTAAGTGCATCAGAAAGATAACATTGCAAATTCACGAAGTTGGGAGTCTTCATTATCAGTAACATTTCAGTTACACATTACCTTAAAAAAACAGAAGGTGGTCTTCGTTTGTCTTTTTCTTCGAGCAAAACTGTTGCCATTGGTAACAATTCAAAGACCACATTCGAGTGATAAATCAATGTCTGTTGTATCAATCTAGTAACTGCATTTCATGTATTACTTATTTCACTTCCGCATCTCTACTTATTGACTATTTTTAAAAAGAAGATCCCTGAGGTAAGACTGGAAAGAACAGGTGTTTTCGTGTTGATAGTACATATTGAACCACTGGGTGTCAGAAATGAGCTATATGTGGATTACATTTGTATTTTCATGTCTGTCTGACCACATACCTTACGTGTTCTGGTGTACATCGGTTGTTGGATGATGGCTGTAATAGAACTAACGGAATAAAAGCTGAGCTAGAATGGTGGAATTTTGTTAGATTTTTATTTCTTTTTATCAATTATTAGTATCATGAAATCATAACACATTACAATTAGGATGCAGCGGTAAAAGCTCAAATATGCAGTAAGTGAGAAGATCCCCTGTTTGTTTAATAGAACGTGACATGCAACATCTGTCAAATATATGGCAGAGTAGCAATTGCGAAGCATGAATCAAAACAAAACACCAAAATTTGTGTGAGGTTAAAAATTGACCACGAAGACACTGTGTAATGGAAATTGTTAGGGCAGTTAGGGATTGCTAAATGGAAAAAGGGGCAACTGTTTCCAAGCTAAACTAGCCCTAAATTGAGCTGCTTTTTTCTGTCTTCTGGAAAGATTTTGTCACTTTCAACTGATAATAACTTACATTTTTAATCTTTAAGTAATACAGCTCATTATGAGTCCAATGTTTCTTGGCAGGACATTTTTTCTGACAAAAGTCATCATGACATTTTGGTCAAAAGAAATAAGAAACAGTGTTTCTAGCTGTAGTTATCATGAAATGAGTTAAAAGTAACAACAAAAGTGTCTGTAGTCATTGTGATTTATCATGCAGTAACTATTGTGACGATGCTTGTTCCACTGTCATTTAGCATCTCTGTTTCAGGAGGTGAACCGAGTGAAAACATGACTCGTCCCGTCTCAGAAGATCCACAGACCGGAGGGAGAACTCGGCTGATCCTGTTCTCCCTGCTCTGCTGGGTCTCAGCCTCAAAGGCCTGCCTGCAGTGTGACCGCACCATCCTCCTCATGCACGAGGACTTTGTGTTGTCTGCTCCCACTGTTAAAGATCAAATTGAGTTGAAAAAGATTTGTGACCATGCCTATGTGACCTATAAAGAAACCAGCCAAAATCGCAAGGGGGTCATTGGTGGGAACATGCTAACTGTATGTAACAGTTTGTTATTCAAATGGTATAAAATATATTTCTAATTGCCAATCTCTTTGTCACTGCTTAGATCCGACTACTCTGTACAGAGTCAAAACTGAGTACCAGAGTGAATTTGCCCGCTTCTTGAAAATGAAACTCACTGGTGAGGAGTATAAAATAATTATCTCCAGGGGAATAGAAGTATTGCTGAAAACTTTAGGAGTGTTCTTAATGTAAAGATAATTGTAATTGCCTATTTAAATCAGAACTTCAATGGTTTATAAACAGATTAATAAAAACAAGCTCTAATTTCTGCAGGATTTTCTAACATATCGTTTTCTTACCTTAAAGGCTCTTTGGCATTTGAAACCATTCAGATCATGGAAAAAGGCAGGAAGATATTGGAGAAACATTTGGACATATTCATCCCTGATGGTAATCAGTATGAATAACAGTGAATATACTGCTCGGTTTGAGGCTGGGCAGTTTTTACATGTCAATGCAGAGCGCACATTTTTAATCACTTATGGTGTCCTCCATCAGAACTGTGCCCCAACAAGTGTGGTAAGTCTTTCGTATCTGATCCCTCTTTCTGAATCACTTTGTACAAAACACATGGGATGAATGTTTCAATTTAGCCTTCACGTTTGTGAGTTACCGTTTGTGTGGTTTCAGGACTTCTAAACAGAAGAGTAATGGATTGCCTTTCATGCCAGTACAAAGTGTACACTTGTCCCTCTCCGTCAGACCAGCAGAACTGTGGTGGTATATTTCTATTTGTTTCCATTTGTTTCATACCTGTGAAAACAGCAGGCCTTTCATTATTCACTTTTTGGCTTAGCTTTTTATTAATATCATGTTCTGTTGATTTAGGTTGTGTTAACATTTTTTTAACTACTGGTAAAGAACAGAGGATATTTTTTACATATCACATGAAACCCCATCATTTAAACAGAGTGTAATTCCTGTTTCAAATAACTGAATTCATTCTTTAGAGCACAGATACTTGTCACGAGTGCAGAAATGTGTTCTTAAGCGAAGTGTCCATGTGCAAGGCTAATGAAAAAGATTATAGAAGTAAGCCGGATATTTAAAAAAAACAGGATATCTTGTTCTACCTTCTCTCACCCTTTTTCTCTAGAGTACCTAGTGCATGCCGAGGAGGGAGGTCAGGCAGTGCTGGATTGTTTTCTTCCATGGCATCGCTTTCTGTTAGGTAAACCAGAGTACTACTACTCCTGGGCCCCAGGAGCACCAGGATCCAAACAGGTATCTCAAAGCTGGCACATGGGAGCACAAGTAGAAAAATTAAGACAATATTAAATTCTGCGACAGTGCCAGTCTTTCTGCACCATAACTATCTCCTATAATGTTACTTGTCACCCCATTTTTTAGCACTGTGATTGTACTGCTAAAAGGCTTATTTTACTCTCCGCCTGCTTTAGACCCACTAAAGTACATTCATCCCTTCCAAATGTGTGTAAACAGGTAGATAAAAGTGACTTCATGGGCATAGTGGTGACACATGACTCATCTGTGGTCTTGAATCAGCTACATGTGGATGAACAAGGAACCTATCGCTGCTTACTGAAAGACCAAAACGGAACTGTCTTCTATGGAGTCACTTTCCTACTCACGGGTAAAGTCAGGCTACCAGACAATCTGTCACCAATACAACTGTCACAATACATGTTTCAGTTCCCAATAAGAAGCTCATAATAGAACACAAAGCTGTTAGGGTTTGGCTCTTGATCTGAACCAATAACTAATTTTTTTGTATTTCATTATAAAGCAAACAGAGAATGTGTGCTGGTAAAAAAAATAGTTTTCATGTCAAACAGAGCACAAAAAAGTGAAAACATCGCGCCATTTTAGGATTAACTTTTAATAAGATGGTAAATATGATTAGGCTTGTAAAGGGGCTGGATTGTTTCTGGTGTGGGCCTTGTCCTTTCTCATATTTCTTATTGCTGTGTGAATTTCATTTGGTTTCACTATAAGGACATTTGCTAAACCTTTAAATGTAGTCCTCATGGCCCTTTAGACAAATATTAAATCATCTGTCTCTTCTCCTCCTACCTCACAGTTGCCCCTTTGCCACTCCAGACTCACCAGTCCGTTGTCACTCTGCCCTCGCTGCCCCGTGGAGACTACCACTCACCTTTCCAACCTACAGAGGACGTGTTGGTGCCAATCATCGCCATGGTTACTGCTCTGTGTCTGATAGGGAGCGTAGGCCTCACAGTTGTCCTGGGGTGAGAGACAGCATGTGGGTGGAGGGGAGGCTAGTACAACACGGGTACTTGGCAGGAAGGGTGTGGGTGAGAGAGGTGACACACCACATGACATAAAGCAAAGGAACTCTAAGTGTTGCCTTGTACTTTGATTATTAAATCATGACAGATGAGGCTGAACTGAGCATGCCGCGAAGGGATTTCTCTTCTGGAAAATGAACAAATTTAGTAGGCATTAAAAAAATCAGGAAACATTAGAGCTTTGATTTAAACACACTTAAGGGGAAGAGATAAGCAGATTAACTTTTTTTTTTTAAAGTAACCACATGAATTTATCATTTTCGATCTGATCTCTTACACAGTGGGATGTTGAAATGGCAGAGAGCTGTAACAACGCTGAGGAGGAAGAGGAAGGGGGAAAAAAGCACAGAGAGCACCGTGTGACAAATGTAAAGTCATTCCACTCTGTGATGACCGAAAAGGTTTTGCGCCGTGATTAAATACTTTATATGTTTTGTAAATAATTTTGTTGGGGTTTATATTTGACTGTGTAAAAGTTTGCAGGGATTTACACAGTGGATGATATATTGACAGATCTTAAAACCGAAAGTGTGTGGTATTACTAAACTGAAATAAAGAACTACACAAAAAATCCCCCAGAAACCCCTGACCTCGTCCCACTAGTGGCTCTGTCAGTGTTCTGACCGCAACACAGACATATTGAATAAAGAGAAGCTGTCGTCACCTGAGTGTTGGCGGACCATACATGATGACTTACTGTATTTCTTCCCAAGCTGACATCACTCACTTGGGTTTTGAGAAACTTTTTATGACATATTGGTTTGGTCATTTTAAGACCTGCAGTGAGACATTCAGAACTGATTACTTTACCACTTTACCAGCAGTTTTATTCCATATACTGCTCTCACCAGTTAATATTATCACAGGTAGGAGCCACTTTGGTTTGTTTTTATCAGTGCTGCATTCAATTCAAAGGTAAAAATCTCTTTCTCACGTTATATAACCATCATCATCAAATAAAGCATTAGAGGTGATCTATCTGATAATTTATTTGTTGAAATAACTACTATATGGTCTGTGTAATTAGTGAAAAAAAGCAGACCGGAAGAGCAAAAGAGCCTATACATCTCAGATACCGCAAATGGAAACATTTTCTAAAGTTGTTAGTCAGAGATAAAAGGGAGGTGAGGCTGGATAACCAATAACAGATATATTTCCTCTGATAATCTGATTGGCTGACTGACACATTTCCTGATATATGTGGGGCCCGAAACAAAATGGGTTGTGGCACATGACTACTTCAGAATCCTTTGCTCGGTTCAGTTTAAATGTCAAGGGTTGTTGACATCAATTGCCAAAAAAAATGGTCTTGTACACAGAAAATCTTCTACACAATGTGCCCCATTTAAGAGAAGAATCAGGGATGAAGTAAATCTTGCAGATTACTGTGTTTTTCAGAGATTAATAGCCCCAGCCATCCGTTTAATCCGGGATAATCCCCCTGTTGGGAGGGTGGAGGCAAAATCAAGCAGCAGAGGTTTTTCATCTGAGCCACTATCGATGTGTGGTCACATGTACATTCATGCAGAGAGAAGAAGAGGGAGTGTTTGCTGTATGAGTAATCTTCTCGCAACCCTGAGGTCCAAGTATGATACCATTAGCTGCGTCTGATAAAAAGATAGTCACCTCTGTTTACACAAGCTCAGTGACAGTTTTCACCCCCGCCAGGTCTATTTTCTGTCCGTCGCATCATGTTTGCTCTCAGCGTGATCTCTGATGTCAATTTACCCCGCCACCACTTTTAAAGAGAATATTCTTTAGTGACAGAAGCAAATGGAAGCTCATCCATCAGCACTATTTCACAGAGGAGATCATTCAGGTATTTGATGAAGTGAAATTGAAACCCGTTGATTAATTGGGCGTGAGTCACCCGAGGCAGGAAATTACCTGTAACTCCACAAATCACGGTTCAGGTTTTTCTCGGGAAATTTCATGCAGAGCCTTGAGTCGGGGGGGGAAGGTACGTTTGGTGTGTGAGCTACAGCAGCTGTCTCCAAGCCTGTAATGTCATATTGTGATTGTGGGCACGTGTGGGGGTTGAGCTCTGCATGGATGTTGACAGGATGTGTGTGTGGTGCCGCTTCCTGTGGGGCTTACTGACATGGGGGCGAATACTAAAAGAAAAAAAAAGAAACAAAAAAACATTTTAAGACTCACTGACGTCACAATCTTGCGAGAGAACAGACCTCAACCCTTCCCTGTGGGTTTGCATGAGAGTGTTGAGGCTATGGTAAATGCATGCTCAGCTCCTTCGCTGACAGCCACAATGAACTATGTAGCAAAGTACATGGACACTGCAGTGGATTTAAAGTGCAGCCTCAGCAGGGACAGGGAATGACAAAGGGGCCGCGCTGCTGTGGGAGCGCCGAGGGAGAGGAAGGAGGATGGAAGCTGTGGGAGTTAGAGGTTTGCGTGGGAGACATTTGTGAGAAGGCAGAGTAGTTTGGATGTGGGCTACGTGGAAATGAGGACAAGGACGTCAGATACCCATTCAAGACATGATTTACACCGCACCGAACAGAAATACTGTGCTTCAGGGTGGAAATACATTCACAATGACTCCTCAACCAGAATAGTATCATTGGTTTTCGACTTCCTCAAAACTAAAGTCGAGCTGAATGTAACAATGAAAAGTCCTTAAGCGAGTTGGTTAAGGAGTTGGGTTTAGAATCATAATGATTTAATGATCAAAAATAAAGACACAGAAAGTTCACATAGGATTTAATTGGTTATCAAGTGTTTTTTAACTTCCTGTCTTTGTCAAATGAGTCTTTGATCATGAAAACATTTCAAGTAGCAAAGAAGATTTCAACATATTTTTCACAGTCAAAGACTATCATGATATCCCATATTTTCTTGTCTTAAATCATATAAGCAAGAGCCTCTCAAAAATACCACACAAGTTATTTTAATCGCGACATGATCGTTTTTAAAAGCTTTTTAAATTGAACATAGAAGCCAGGATTCTTAAAAGAGGCGGTTTGAGCAGACAGTTTCAGCATCTACAGCAAATTTAAAAACTAAATTTTGTGCTTTTCTTTACGCCGCCTCACAGCTGCTCTACTTACACAGACTTACTCTGAGTAACACAATGTGGACCATGTTGCAATGGACTGTGGCTGGTGAAATGTGGCGAAAAATGAAAGAATAATGATACAGAAGTGCCGTGCCTTAAGAAATCTAGACTTCAGGATATTTCCCATTCATTCATCTTTTTATACACTGCTTATTAGCAGCGTGTTGTGGGCTGGAACCTTCCTCTTAACCATCTGAGAGCCTGAGTCCTTTTTACCATGATTCTTCTTTTTTCTTGCGACTTTGACCTCTTGGCCTGATAATAGACGCTACCAGACACTACTGTTTGAAATCTAAACATTGTACATTTTATGTTTTAAACAATATACATTAACCGTCAGAACTAAATCGCAAAAAAAATATTAGATATATAAACAAACGTTTTAAATAAAAAGATAAACCCACTGAGCCGGTACAAAGAAAAACTACCTGTACCGTGACAAAGTCTAGTTATTAAACTTATTAGGTCTTACTATCCATCAATCCATTTTCGTAACTGCTTATTCCCTAATGGGGTCGTGGGGGTCGGTCCGACTAATCCCATATATATTGCAAAAAGCAAAAATGCACACCAAACAAAAGCTCAGGTCTCAGGAGGTTAATGAACTCTGAATGTTACTTTAGATATTTCAGTTGTTTCAAATTAAATGAAGGAAGTCATCTTGTTCCAGTTGAATTCCTAGTAGCTGCATTCTTTTCGTTTCTCCGTACAAAGTCACATTTACATGTGCAGAAGAAATGTTGTCTCGTTTAAAACTGGCCTCGATGTAAATTGAACAGAAGCAACTGGTTTATTTGTATCTGATTTGCAAGGCCCTCTGTGACCGTTTACTGTGGAGAGATTTCCATTTAGACATTGTAACTCTATTCAAATGCAGAGATAAAGCACACCAGCAGCGCTGAAGCAGGGTAAGTTCCAGGATTTCATCACGGCAACATTTGCTTTGCTTTTGAAAAAAAAAATCCAAATCAAGTATCCTTTCTTCTACTTTACTGAGATAACCAAACAACCTATTTCCTTTTAACCAGACTGCTGCATTTCTACGAAGGGCCCAAAGACACATTTATACTTTGGGTTGTCCTAATCAGCAGATTCCACACTTATGCTGGCCTCGCTGGCATAGGGTTGTAACATTTTCAAAGTATTGAATTAAACAAAACATTGTTTCCTCTCTTAAATGTAGAGGTATTGAACTGGTAAACTACATCTGGCACAGAGTCAATATCAATTCATTGTTGTTCGGGAAAAGAGCATTCTGAATAGATTCATTTCCCCATAAAGGTCTAAATGAGGACGTTAACTCACAATCATTCTGATGACTCTTAGTTTAGTGTATTTTTAGAAAAAGGAGAGTCACCACGCTGGGTTTTATAAATAAATAGACTTGTCTTTAGATTTAAATGTTTTTAAAAGATTAAATTGACTGATTGACTTACTTTTCCATAAATTCTATTACTTTTTATTATCCAGTTGTTTTAAGAATTGTTATGGTTTTACGTGTGTGGGGAGGGATGCCTATATATTGGCACAACCACATGAATTCCACACAAGACATCACATGCCTCTGGTTCATGCCTTTTTTTTTTAAATTAGGATTACTACGTTGCCACGTGGACATGTCTGTTCCTGTATTTCTAAATGATTATCAGCAGTCACTTTTACACTTCACCATGACGTGTGCAGTTGTCTCATAGATGGCCCTGGGGAGCTTCCTTTTTTCTTTTTTTTCTCAACACCTGGAGCTTATTTAGCTGATGGGTCTGCTCTGTATTCCGTTTGCTTATTCTGAAGTTGAACAGGCTGCAGGGAAGCGAGGAAACAGAGGTTTCGCGGCAGTTTAACGCAGAGCAGGATCCCTCTGACCCATATGTCACCGTTTCCTCCGGAGGCAGCCATTACAGGGGTGGCTGGGAGGGGAAGAGACGGCTTCCAACCTGCTCCCTAGCGTCATTCAGCACAACAACACAGGACGGCCCGAAAAAAAACCACGTGCGCGGTAGGAAAGTGGGCTTTGACGTCACTGCCCATATGAGGAGTGTCGGGCCGCCATATGCGGCGCTTCCGGCGCTGACGTCGTTCTTTCTGTGGAAAACAAGGAGGAGCTTCCGGGGTGGGCGGAGCTTCGGGGGCCCCGCCCAGGTCCCAGCTGTTATCAATGAACAAGTGAAAGTCTGCATCTCAAGCGGATTTGAACCGACTCAGCGGAGGGTTCAGGGACTCTCCGGATAAATATACATATTTATATTTTTAATTTTAAAACTAAAAATACGCTGTCACCTGTTGCGTCTGATATTTTTCTTTAAATTATATTTTGCTATTGATAACTAAGGACCAATCTTCTTTTTTTTTTCATTTCTTACTTTGAAATAGTATTTTAACAACACTTCAGCCATGACTACAAGCATTGAGCCACTAGAAATAACTGGCAACGAGCTGGTCCACGTCCTCAGGACCCCCCTGGAGCAGTACACCTCAGACGGGTGCGTGGTGCTGGACTGCAGGCCCTTTCTCGACTTCTCCCGGGCACACATTTGCGAGTCCCGGAACGTCAACTGGAACTCCATGCTGCGTCGCAGATCGAAGAGCTCCGTGGTGGCCCTGGAGTGGCTCATCCCGGACAAGACGCTCCTGGGCCGGCTCCGGGGCGGGGAGTTCTCCCCCGTGGTGGTGGTGGACGACAGGAGCCGCTCTCTGGCCGACCTCAAGTCGGAGAGCGTGGCCCAGATGCTGCTCACCGCCCTCCAGAACGAGGTGCAGGCGCATATCTGCTTTCTGCAAGGTAATAAAACAGCAACTTTTATTTCAACAGCATTCCAGGGTCAACCGACACATCTTCTAAATGACCCTAAAGCTTTTAATGAAACCCAATGTTTGGCATTTCTTTTAATACACGCATGATAATGCATTTATAATGTTTTTAAGTAGATTTTTTGTCTTGGTTTTTGTTTTCACATGCAGTGAATTATGTTGTTTTGGGCTCATCTTTTTTTTACTTCTCTTTAGGTGGATTTGAGTTTTTTTCGGAGTCCTTCCCCGAGCTTTGTTACATGTCTGCCAGTAAGCACTTCTCTGCAGTGGAACCAGAGCCACCAGTGCCCGGCCGGAGAACGCCTGCCTACGATCAGGTAATGCAACAAATGCATCCACAATCACTTTAGCAAACGGTTCATCACGCAGCCCTCGTGGTGACGGGCCATCTACGCACAGTGCTCATTCCATTGATTTCTCCTAAATTGCAGGACGGCCCGGTGGAGCTGTTGCCCTTCCTGTTTTTGGGGAGCGCCGTCCACTCCTCCCGCAGAGAGATGCTGGCCGCAGCGGGCATCACGGCCGTGCTCAACGTGTCCTCCACCTGTCCCAACTTCTACGAGGGGGAGTTTCAGTACCTGCGGCTCACGGTGGAGGACACGCTGGCTGCGGACATCCGGGCCTGCTTTCACACGGCCATTGCTTTCATCGGTGAGCCTCTCCACTGTGTGCACGGCCTGGCCTTCAAATCAAAGTTTAGTTGGTCGCATGTTTGCTGAAACGTCAGTCCAAAGTTCATCTTGGCCAACTAACCCAAGAAACTCCAGGCAAATCAGGCTTATAGGAAATTAAATGCCTCAAAACATTCCGAACCAGCTTAATCACCCTAATCCATTTTTCATCTCGGACTTATGGACAAATGGTGTAATAATCCTGTTACGAAACAACTAGATTTGTGTGCAAAAGTTGCAGAAATTGCAATTCTTAACACTTACTGTTCTCGGATTGACTCTATTTGATCCCTTTTGGCTTGCAAATGCTTAGTTTGCTAAATCTATGAAAACTACAAATTCAGTTAACATAACAAACAGTGTTCTCTCTCTTTTTTTCTTTATGAAATCTTCAGCCAGTTTAGGCTTCTATGTTAGTTTTTGTCAATATATTATTACTGATTAATGGTGAGAACTATTATTACTGCTTTTTGTCTATTCTTACTGACACTCATGGCTGTTCCCCCTCTGTTTATTTCTTGGTAACGCAGACTCTGTGAAGCAGAGTGGAGGCCGGGTGCTGGTGCACTGTCAGGCAGGAATCTCCCGCTCAGCCACGATCTGTCTGGCCTACCTCATGCACACGCAGCGCGTCCGTCTGGACGAGGCCTTCGACTTTGTGAAGCAGCGCCGGCACGTCATCTCCCCCAATCTTGCTTTTATGGGACAGCTGCTGCAGTTTGAAACTGACATTCTCTGTCAGGGATGAGGATCAAATGCACTGAGGGAACTCTCCATTTCGATTAATTCTCTCTCTCCCCGTGATGCTGCGTTGAAGTCGGGACATCGTGAGGAATCAAGTGAATGAATTTTCTTTGTACCATTATTTTTTTTCAAATGGTACCAATCAGAAGGGCTACTTTGTGGATTCATTTTTTTAAAAAGCTATTTGTGTTGCTGGCATCACGTAGCTTGATTTCCTCCTGAAACAGGGGCCGTATGTTGCCGACGCAACAGAAAAGCCCAGTGCAATAAAGACATTTTGAATCACTGTGAAGCTTAAGCCAGCAAGTTGGAGCAGCTACAAGGTGACAAGCCTCAAGTTTTCCGAAGTAGTTCCTGCTTGTTTCATTGTATGTGAGTGTGCATATGCATGTTATCCTGCTGAGTGTATGTGCCTGTCTGATTGAAAGGTCTGTCTTGTTTCATACTAAAGTAACTCCCTCACGGTTGCAGCCATTGTTACATCAACGCTACACTCTAAAGTGACAGCAATATTGGGTGAATATAAAGTTGGTGTTCTGAAAAATGCACTAAAGTTGGATGTCTGTCTATATGTGAGATGGATTGCATTTAATCTGGAAGAGGTTGTTTTTAATCATGTAAATAGTTTTTTTAATTAATTTATTACTTCATGATTTGAGACTGTATTACGGCCATTGATATTTGTTACAGCACTTTACACACGCAAGTTTTTTTCCTATTTCTGCTGTTTTGTTTTTTCACTGGAATAAAAACTTGCTGACAAACTTATCTGTTTTTTGTGTATGACCATTTTGTTCATCCGGTGGAACACAACACATGTTTTCTGCTCTACAAAATGGGTACTCTGTGCCGCTGGCCCTCCAGCAAACAAAATAATCTGAGCACTTTATCCTGGGTGAGCGGCAGCGCTCCAGTTGCAACATGCACATGATCAGAATTTTCCACGCTGACCCTGCTGCACCCAATTCACTCTATTCCTCTCACAGGAAGTATTAAAGGCATGCATTGCTGAGTGTTTCAGAGGATTATCCTTCTGAGAGTGGGTTTATACTCCGAGGTCCATTTGACCTTGGTTAAACCAGTAAAAGAAAATTCCCACCCACTTGTGTTTTATGAATAGCTTTGACAGTGAGCTTGTCAAACATGTGCAATTTCTGAAAAGGAAGTTTGTGAATTCTGTTTTGTAGTCTTGCAATGCCAATCTCATGGTTCAGTTAGACAAACACTGCAGGTGACTAAACATATGAGTAAAACATTACCCTCACGATGTGCATTGCACATAGTTTTGATACCATTTGACCATATGCTAGTTACTTATTCTTTCAGATGGTATACAGAGAGCCCTAGATAAATATTTTACACAGAAGTCAGACTTAAAGTATTACATGTTGAAATCACATCTTTGCACAAAACATCAATCTATTATATAACTTCAGTACAGGAGATGGAGAGCTACATCTGACGGTGTGCCAAATGACCTGGTGTACACTGCTGTATATCTTTATGTTAATTACTACACCCACACTTCTCAGTTGGACATAGATTTTTTTTTTAATCCACTTCCTCTCATTTGCAAGTACCCATTGCCCAACGTCTATTTAAGTGGAACTTTCATGGTTGACTTCTCCCTTCCATTAGCTTCTTTTTTCCAAGTAGAGAACTTAAAAATGCTTGGTATCCAAATGTGCGTATATATATGTGTATATGTATGTATGTATTTATGTATGTGTGAGTGGGGGGATAAACACTATCTCTCTATCTATCTATCTATCTCTCTTTCTATCTATCTATCTATCTATCTATCTATCTTTCTATCTATCTATCTATCTATCTATCTATCTATCTATCTATCCATCTGGCGATTAGATAGATAGATAGATAGATAGATAGATAGATAGATAGATAGATAG